CATAAAAAAGTTGAAAAACAAAAAATTGTACAAAATACTAAAATTAAGGGATTAAAATTGTTATTTAACCAGTTAGAGAATGATTGTACAAAATACTAAAATTCTAGGGATTAAAATTGAAATTTAACCCGTAGAGAATGATTGGGACACAAAACTGCACAAAAAGCCAGACAATAACCAGACAACAACAGACTCTAAACGGCGTCGTTCAAGTAAGATCTCACGTTTTGAAGCGACGTCGTTGAAAAAGTCTCCGATTCTCACTCTTGGCCTCAAAATTAGAAATTAGAAACCGAAAAAAGAGCCGAAAGACAGGCAGTCTCTCTCTCTCTCTCTCTCTCTCTCTCTTCCTTGCCTTTGCGACAGATAACCAGACATCCCTCTGGAGAGAGCATAACAGTACCGGAAAACGCAGAAAATGGGCAAGGATCTAACCGACGATCAGGTCTCCTCTATGAAGGAAGCCTTCACCCTCTTCGACACCGACGGGGATGGGAAGATCGCCCCTTCCGAGTTGGGGATCCTCATGCGCTCGCTTGGGGGAAACCCCACCCAGGCACAACTCAAGTCCATAATCGCTGAGGAGAAATTGACCGCGCCTTTTGATTTCCCTCGCTTCTTGGATCTCATGGCGAAACACATGAAACCCGAACCCTTCGATCGCCAGCTCCGTGATGCGTTCAAGGTCCTGGATAAGGAGTCCACCGGCTTCGTTTCCGTCGCGGATCTGAGACATATTTTGACTAGCATTGGCGAGAAGCTGGAGCCGTCCGAGTTCGATGAGTGGATCCGCGAGGTGGATGTCGGGTCGGATGGGAAGATCCGGTATGAGGATTTCATCGCCAGGATGGTCGCCAAGTGAAGGGTCACCATAGGTTGTGTTTGTTTGTTTTCAATTTTTTTCCTTTTACCAGGAAAAGTTTGCCCTTTTTTTTTTTCCTCTATCTTTTGGGTTTCAGTTCTTTGTTTTACGTGGGTTTGTGTTTGCTGGGGATTTGATGTGATGGAGGATGGATGTGCCTTCTTTTGTTGTTTTCTTTCTGGAATTGTTCGAGTAATGTTCACTGTTGTTAGAGATTTTCTCTGCACTGTTTATATTATGTAGCTATGCATATATTGGTTCTTGTTTTGCCTTGAATTCTAACATTCTCATATGTGGTCCTTTCCATTCTGTAATTGGAAGTCCGAAGATTTGGGCTGTTACTTTATTCAAAATTTTCAGATTAAATGTTGTTGACTTCCACTTTTTCTTAAAATTTTAATGATTCATTTCTATGTTGGAATCCTTTACTTTTTTTTTTTTTTGCCTCGCGTTGTTCTTTTCCATTTGTAAGGTCTCTGATAGGTTAATCTCATGGAATTGGTGGGATGAGATGAGAGGTCTTAGTTTATTGATGATAGCTCGTTGCCATTAGCTAGCTCTTACTAGACTGGTTCATTTGATGAAGATAGATGCTGAAAGTAGTCTAATGGGTGCAAAGGAATTGCTGGTTTTAGACCTTCATTGTTGGAAGCATGATTAACTCGTTCGGTGCATGCCCAAAAAGTTTTCTCATCTTGCATGATACATGGTTGCCAAGTTGCCAAACATTAATCTTCTCTGTTTGTGATAAGGATTAAAAGCTCTTGTTATCGTTGGCGGCATTAATGCACCCTCAAATTTTATGAGCCAGTTGTGCCCACATTAATGACAGCTGGTGAAAATGATGCACAGGTCTTGAGTGGAGGGCCTAGTTGCCAACAGAGTTTATGATTGATAATAACTGAAGAAAAGTTTCTTTTAATTGCAAAGGGACTTATATGAGTTTGGAGAAAATGAAATGCAGGGCCAGGTCAACAGCCACAGCTTCCATTGACAGAAAGTTTTGTATTAGCTTCTAGATTCCACTTCTTCAATGTTGTGCTTTGTAAACGGTGCCACTAAAGGTGGGGCAGATTAATGCAGTCTTGGGATGAATACCTTCAATACTCATTTAAATATTGGGTCTATTCACCGTTTTTTTTTTTAATCTTAGGTTGGATAATAGGGCAATTATTTTTTATTCCTTAACTTACCCCATATGCCATACAACTTGAATACAACTTGAATTTAAGGGCTTTTACTTTTATTGAAAAGAGATTATTATTGAATTATTTAGATTACTAACAAATCCATTCTACCATTGGTTTCTTCGGTTATGGAGAATGAGATGAAGATTGTTCCTTTCTTAACCGGTCCTCTACCATAGATGTGTGTTGTGCTTCTCTGCTGTTGCTGTTGAGGGTTGGCAGGATGTCCTCTGTAGTTTTTAGCAAATGCTAGGGTTATATACTTGTATTCTATCCTTATTGACATAATTTTTTTGTATGTTGTCACTTGTCCATGCATACTAGATATGGTGGAAATCTAAGTTGATGTAGCCATCCCAGTAGATGTGACACTTGAGTTTAATATATCAGGTAGTAACCCTTTCCATGTAGAAGGCACCCCTGACTTATTATTCAACTTCAATAGCATAGGATTTGAACAGGAAGAATTTCAATCGAATTTCAACAATATAACAAAATGACAGAGGTATAACAATGCCAACGGCTCACCCACAGCAATTGCTTGTATGATTAACAAGGTGAAAAGTTTCCAATTAGTGTTATGTTACACAAATTGTCTGAAATTCAAACAATATCCTGAAGCAATGTACAATGACTCCACATAAAGGGGAAGCAAGCAAAAAACGAAAATCTCCATACTCAGAAGGATTGTTGTGGCATGTTGTTTCATCAATGATGCAAAATGCATCAAAACCTTTTTATCTTCATGGTTCATGGGGCAAATTTTTGCATTGCTGAGAAACTGATCGCTGATTTCACTAGATTTTGAGCTTTCTGGAGCTGGAGGTGACTGATTGTCTGCAGAAGGGCTGTCAGGATCTCCCTCATCATGGTTTGGTGGATCTTCGTGCTCATCTTTCTCATCATTTTTTTGGCTGGGGCTACCCCCATTACCATCTTTTGAGATTCCTCGTACTAAATCTGGTTGAGCTTCAACCCCAACCCGCCTCAAGTGTAGCTGTAAATGCCAGGACCAGTTGGAAGATTATTTACTCCAGTACTAATATGGAATAGGCGAATGTAAACAAATGCAGACAGACTAATTACCTGAAGATGTAGGTTAACTTCATCTGGTCGTGAGAGAAATGGGAAGTCTCCTCCACTTTTCAAATATGCTCGTCTTGCCCCAGAATATCTCTCACTCAATTGATCTTTGAGTTCTTGAGGAGTAGCACAATAGTCATTTGTCTGAAAGGTAGCAGCATATGTCAACAACAAAAGGAGTCAGCAAGAGTTTTTTTTTTTTTTTTTCCTCATCAGGTATCAAAATGCAAAGGATATACTATTGTTGAAGCTCTCTCTCTCTAGTTTCAAGTAATGAGTATGAACAAGAAGATAGCTTGCAGCAACTTCTTCATTCCCTTGATATCAGTTTTAGTTTAGCAATAAATTATTTTTTACAGCTTGCTAACTACCAAGGGAAGAAATCTTTTTTTGCAGGGAAGCATGATCACCAAAAGATATTCATATACAGACATACTGCAAAGAAAGATTCAGATCACATACATCCATTATGGTAATAAATGAATCTGAGAGCAGAAGAGATCCAACTGAAGCAGCATCAATTGTCA